TCCCCTCCTCATTCAGGCACTTTGTGTGGCGACCACCTTGATTTATTGTGGAGAGGTTACCCCCTTGGGGGAGGTGCTTCACCTGCTGAATGCTGTGCAGTAACTGAGAGGTTACGAAAGGCAGCAATTTGGATTATTCCATAGGAACTTGCAAGTAGAGTTCAGATGAGCAAATTAGAGGGTCTTTGATTTAATAATTACAGGCTAATATTACCCATGGGGTCCACAGTGTTTACTGTTCGTTCATATAGCTTATCACTGATTTCCTGTATGCAACTATGTCAGAGTACAAACTGGCAGGGGGTGGTGGACATTTTCTCTTTTATTTGCATCCCTGTTGTTTCGGTGATGATACACAGTGGGATAACAGGGTAAAGCGCTCATTTCCTCAGTTGCTGCAGTTGTGAATCGGAGTCCTAAGCAACTGAGCTGAAATCTGAACAAAGCTGCGGTTCAGAATCATTCTGTCTTACAGAAGTCTCTCCCTGGTAGGACAGCGAACTAGGTGGTAATGCTGGGCTGAAAGGCACACACTGATGTTTCAGCTGGCAATAGTCAGAAACAAATGTGATCCTGTTTACTGCTCGTTAGTTGAGCTAAAAACTGGAACTATTTGACTCAAAGTGTATTAGTGTGGTATCTGTGCTCTTAGGGCATCATGTCTGCTAATTTACGTTATTACGGCATGTCTGCCAGCAAGACTTACCAAAATGTAAAATTCACTACTGAAGCAAAATATATTCATTAAAAATATCAGCATTTTTTCTTCCCTTCTATTCGTGTAGTTTTCCCATTTAATTGCCTTCTACTTTCTTTTATTTTCCTGTTTAGTTAGGGGGCTTTTCCTCTACACCTATTGTGGAGACTGAGTGAATTGAGACTTTAGAAACATGAGGAGATTTTAAACTGGCTTTAATCCATTTTCTGCTTGAGCCCTCTTCAAACTTTTTTATTAATTTCTCTTGAGTGTAAAACAGTGATCACTCATCTGTTTTCCTGGGCAAACTGGAGTGTCCCGTTTGCTGGAAAGGAAATCCCCCTGACCATGTGTTATTTCTCTGTCTCTCCTTAGTTGGTATTTTCCTCTTCCCTCTTTTCCTGTTGCTTTTTCACATCTTAGTTCCCTTGCCCGTATCTGCCTGCATTCCCAGTAGTGTGTGTTTCAGTACTTCAGCTATAGCCTGCAGCTGTTATGAGGAAAAGCAGAATAAAGACTGTCAGAATAAATAGTATTGGTTACTGACAGCACCTACAGGAGTACTTCAAAAAAAAAAAAGTGGTTAAAACAAACTAGTATTTGGGGCTTACAGAGATTCTGATCTTGCAGGACCCTACAGATAATGATTGTTGGTAAGTGATCTTTCCGTTAGTATGGAAAACAGTTTTGTGAGGGGTCCATTTCAACCTCTGCTTTTAAAATACACAGGACCACCACGTTTTTAAAAAGGCGATGAAGCTTTTGTAGAACGGATCTGTCAGATCTCCCCCTTGAGGGTTGTAGAAGCTGGAGAATTCCCCTCCATTGCTGCCATCTCCCTCAACTTTCTGGATTAATGAATTCTGTTCTGAATACCACCGAGTCTGTGTTAGGATAGTTGTTCACAAAACCCAGAGGCAGTAGGAGCATTACAAGGTCAAAAGAAGGTTTGTGTGTTTAACATGGCTGTTTTGGAGGTGGAGGGAGGGGGGGGATAAGGGGGACAAATCCTTGCTATTCTTGCATTGATCTCCAGACTTTGGAATACATATGTGACTGTATTAATCACCATTAATGTCTCCATCTGGTTGCATTCCAGTTCAGATTTGTTTGTAATACTCAGGGTAAAGTTGCTGAGAGCTGCAGAAGGATCGGAGACGTGAGAACTGGTTTCGCAGTGGTAGTGGTACCCTCTCCAGCATTCAGCCAGCTTGCGTTGCACCCTGTGCTGTAAGCAACAAAGGTACCTGTGTGACAGGTACCAGAAAGGGAGTTAGGCTGCCTGGTGAGCTGGTGCAGATAGGCTTGTAGGCACGCTGCTCAGTTAGCATTATCTGGCGGATCATCAGAAAGCATGCCCCAAAATACTTGGGGTGGGCTTCCTTTGGGGCATGTGTGGTGGTTCTTAGACATTGCTATTTTGTATGTGTATTTTTAATATGAGACTGTATTGTGCCTGCCAGAGAGGTGGTGGTACGTACCATGATGTTGAGGCTGAGTGTTACTTGTCCCAGGGTCGTGGTGAAAGGGGTATTGAGTGTTTGCGGAAACATGGCTTGTTGGGGTAGCTGTCAGCAGTGAACACGGTGCTCTTCTAGGGGTATGCGAGACCTCTGACAGCTATTTCTGTAGTAAGAATTCATTGAACAACTCTGATGATGCAGAAGGAAAAAAAGTTTCTAGTTCACTCTTCTGTTGTCAGTGTTGACTTTACAGGAGAGAGATGTGGTAGTGTGGTTTTATCACGGCATGTAAGTAAATACGCCAAGGAGGCGTGCTAAGTGAGTGTGAAGATTTTTATGACTGAGGCCTGAGATGTGTTTGCATTTGGGTCTAAAGTCTGTATTTGTTATGTTGGATAGCGCAGAAGCCAGATAGTGTTCAGCTCCTCTTGGCATTATAAAACTAGTTATCTTCAGAAACAAGTAGTCGAGCTTACTGTATCTGTGAAATGTGCTACTGACTGCCCTGTGAAGTTGCTTTCCAGTTGTTTATTACAAGCTGACAATAGAAGGTAGCGTGCTGTTAGCATGTGGCTTAGATTTGCTGTTCCTCTTTATTTTTTTCTTTTTTCTTTTTTTTTTTTTTTTTTTTTTTTTTTTTTTTAAGATGTATATAGCTGTCCTGAACTGTGTAGATTTCCTTATTCTGTAGGTCAGTTGGATTTAGGTGTTGCTGTGTGGCTGGTGTGTTTTTTCCTGTTCTGACAACAGAGCTAATGGGCATCAACAGAAGGAAAATTAGTTGTGTTCATTCTCATATTTCCTTTGGAGAGTAGTAGAGACCTATGCTGTCAATACCTTGCAGGCTATTCTGATCATTTCCCATGTGGAAAATCAGGGGAAAGGATGTAAATGTGAGCACTGAGCTAATTTTTCTGTGTGTTTTAAAACAGTGAGACAGAGACCCCGGTGGTCTCCAGTGTAATTTACCTAGGAACAGAAAAAATTCATTGGAAAATGTGATCTTGAGGGTCAGGAGACAAGGAGGGGAGGACCAAGAGGAACTCAGGCTTCCCTTCTTGTTTGTTTCGGTGATTCTGTACTTGTGTTCTTGAAGACCAGAGGGGAAAAAAAACCACCCCTGAACACCACCCCTATGACCCCCCCTAAAAAAACACTGTGGTTATTAGCATGACTGCATGGCGCTCTTCATTTTCTTGAGAACCTCTCCCTCTCCTCTATTTTTTTGTCTTTTTCTCTGTTCTCTCCTTTACTTGCAAGTAATATTCGCTTCCTCAGCTCAGCCTCTCTTCTTTTTTTTGCTCCCTTCTCTGTTTGTGGTTGAAGTGGGTGCGGAGATCTTTCACTGTTGTCGGTAAGGTCATTGCAAACTCTTCTGTCCTGCTCTCGCTTCCTCAGAGCGGCACTGTGCGGTGGTGTCGATGGAGAGAGCAGGTCAGCCGCTCCGCGTCGTGCCTGCGGGTAGGGACAGTGGCGGAGCGCTCCCAGCCAACCCCGAGAAGCTCGGGCAGCACACCGAGTAGTCCATCTTGTCAGTCCTAAGTCTGGCACCCACATACATCCCCGTGAATCAGCAAACTTTTCCAGAAGACACCTGCGCTAAACTAGTGGGAATGTAGAGTTACTGTATTCCTTCTGCCCACGATATCTCTCCAGGGTCTCATGTAGATTGTGAAAGCTGGTATAAAATAACCTTCCATGTTTTTGTGTTTCTTCTTTGATCCAGCCTGCTTCGTGTGCATTGTCTTTAATCACTGCCTTTGCTTCACTTAGCCTCAGTCCTTGTTCTTCTCACAGGTAGCAGTTTTCTGGTGTGTTTTCCATATCAAAGCTCTCTTTTATTAAAATTTAATTCTTTCTCTGCTATTTGGTGATAATAACAGACATAAGTATTAACATGGTAACTTTATAGTATGGTGGCAGTGAAAGGCCGTATGAAAATGGAGCTCTTGAAAGAGGGCAGGAAACAGAACAAAGGATTAGATCCCCACAGACCTAACATGGAAATAGTGAACCTTTCCCCTGAAAAGCAGGACGGCTTGCCTCCCGCAGCCCCATGTGAGAGGGGAATGCTGGGCAAAGGCCCACGAGGTGGTACTGGCGGGCAGCACATACGGAGGAATGATTTCCAATGCCAGTCAAGTATTGCGGGGTTCACACTGCGTTGTGCAGAGAAGCATAGAATCAAGAATACTCTCTTTCAGAAGAAAACAGTTTAATTCTGCAGAGACTTGTGTGGGTTTCATTTTGGTGGGGGGAGTTGACTTCTCTTATCACCAGCAGAATTGCTTGACTTGCAGCTGTTGTTAATTCTGGTAGGAACAGAAGCTGCAAAGCCTATGTATTGCCAGGCACTGTACACAGACAGAACTTGGGGCAGGGGTTGCACTTTCTGATCCGGAAAAGAAAAGAAAAAAAAAAAAGCCTGGAAGTGGAGAACAAAGCAGGAAAGTGATTTACCTAAAATCATGCAGCTGGGAGCAAAGGTCGGTGTCATTGTGTCTGACCAGTAGTTTGCACTTGCTATTTCTTTCATGTTTTGTCATAAATTCTTTTTATGGAAGTCTGTGAAGGTACAGCAGTGGAGGGTGGTAGAAACTAACTCTCCTTCCTTTTTTATTTGTCCAGGTTAAGTCGTATTTTCTGACGTTTGAAGAGCAAGCAGCACCATGGCTCTATGACTTGCAAAACCGCAGGAAGTGCAGCAGCCCTCCCTACCTCCAGCTTTCCTTCCTTACTGTGACTTTCTTCTCGGGACCTTTGGTTTCATCCCTGCTGGGTGCGCAGTGCCCTGCCTTGGCGTCAGAGCAGAGGAAGCAGCTTACGGATCAGGGAGAGCCATGGCCTTGAGCTTGAATGTCTTTCACCTCTTCTATAAGTTCAAAGTGTTGGTGCTTGTCACTTTGTGTTTGGTGATGCTGTGGGCCACATTCAGTTACTTTGTGGACTCCAGACAGGAAATTTCTAAAGCTAAGAGCATGGTGGAGGTTTTCAGAAAGGTAACTAGCTTGGAGGACAGTCAAAAGGAAGAGAAGATGGAATCAACTGCGAAAGTTCCCACCGTGAAGGCATTTCAGGGTCACTGCCCAGCTCTGTCTCCGTACCTGCGTAAGTGATAGTGCTTTCCTCTCTAACAAGTCACATCTGCTTTGGTACTGCTGACTTGGTTTTCTTCCTAGCCGTTTTACAGTTAGACACTTTTCCTGTGAAACAATTACAACACAGCCGTTGCAGTAAGCACTTCTGGGTGAGGAAGCAGCTTGTGGCACAGAGCGTCTGTGCTGGTCTGGCTGGGATAGCAGCCCGTATGGTGCTGTGCTTTGCATTAGTGGCTGGTCAGCTTTGGGAACGCACAAGTGACTTGGCTGCTGCTGAACAGTGTTCGCATGTTGTGAAGGCTTTGTCTGTCTCTTCCCTGGCACCCTAAAATCTGGTAGACTGGGCGTGGGCAAGAGGCTGGGAGTGGACGCAGCCAGGACAGCTGACCACAACTGACCAAGGGGATATTCTGTACTATATGACCATACCATTTATCATGCTCAGCAATAAAAGCTTAGGGAAAGGGGGAAGGGGGGGTGTTTGTGGTTGTGGTGTTTGCCTTCTGTATAACAGCTATACGTGCTGAAGCCCTGCTTCCCAGGACACGGCCGGACATCTGCCTGGCGATGAGAAGTAGTGAATGAGTTTCTCTTTTTGCTTTGCTTGCATGCACAGCTTTTTCTTTTTTTATTAAACTATCCTTATCGCAACCACAAGTCTTTTTTTCAGCTTTCCTCATTTTTTTGCCTTTTCATTATTAGATGTACTTTTGTCTGTCTTGATGACTGAAGGACTTCACAGCTGTGTTGGGGTTTGCACTACTTATGGTAAAGGTTCAAACAGGTGACCGTTTCCTTGGTTTGGCCATTTTTGTTAGGCCACTTTTTTGTCTTGGTATTGCTAGCAGAACCAGGCTTCTGCTTTGCAGTATCATGTCATTGCCTTCTTCCTCTTCCTTTTTGTGGACCTGATTAGGGATTTGTTTGGGAAGCTGGATTCTTCCCTCCTCCCCAGTGAAGTTCAAACAGCTGCTGTCTAGTTGCACACCCCCACCTTTACCCCCGGGAGCTATTTGCTTAAGTAAATGCACTGCAGCTGTAGCTGTCACGCTTGCCTGCCTTGTTCTCTTTCATGAGTTTGCTGAGTCCGGAGGGCCTGGAATGATAGCTCAGTGCAAGAGAAGTGATGGCAATTTAATTTGGCTACAGAGAGCCGTGGTACATTTTATCTTAACAAATTTTTAGCCTTAAGCCTGTGATGCTTTTGTTCGTACTTTAAGCAGAGGTGACTTCTCACAGCCACAGTCCTTTGTCTCTTTCTAGTTTGTTGTTCTCTGCTTTGCCCTTGCAGCCGTTTCTGGCCAATCCTCCTGCAGTAGGGTGGAACTTGTCTTGATTTTTTTTTTTAATATATTTTTTATCATCATCACTCTATAATCAGTTTAAGCAACTGAACACTTGATACCCTCTATTGTCACTGCCCATGTGATGTCCTTGTAGTACTACTTTTCTCTTAGAAAGGCAGGGAAACCAATTGGGACTTGAACCTGTGTTACTTGTGCTGGTTACAGAGTGCCTCATTAGGTGACTGGGCTAGCCACAACCAGAAACGACTCAGGAAAGCTTCTTGCGCTTCTCCTACAGGAGGTGCCAGCAAACTCACCTTCAAAGCATCTCTCACACTAGAAGAAGTGCAAAAGGAGAACCCTCAGGTAGCCAAGGGCCGGTATCACCCTGCGGAATGCTCAGCATTGCAGCGTGTGGCCATCCTCATCCCACACCGCAATCGAGAGAAGCATCTGCTGTACCTCCTGGAGCACCTCCACCCCTTCCTGCAGAGGCAGCAGCTGGACTATGGCATCTACGTTATTCACCAGGTGAGGCAACTGTGCAGAGGGGTGTTTGGGTGGGGATGATGCCAGTGCTCTGCAGTCCAGGGAGAGGCATGCTGCTGCCTCTGCTGTCTAGCATCAGTCCTCCAAGACTGCTTTGAACGCTTCTACTTGTTGAGGGATGCAATGGTGCATGTGGCCATTGCTGATAGCACTACAGGATCTCGGCTGCTGGTAGCAAAGCTGGGAAGTATTTACAAACAGTGTATTTAATTGGTGTCCATTTCTCAGTCTAAGTAGCTTGCTGTTTCTGAGTTAGCATTCAAGGTAAGCATCTTTTTGCCTTACTAGTGCAATTCTCTTGCAGTATACACATATGTAACTAGGCTGACATGTTTTCTGTCTTTAAATTTGGAATTGTTTGGATCGAAGGCCTCAGTTTGTATCTAGCTCTTCTCTCCCATCTGCTTCCTGGCTGTTGTGTAAGCTGTGTGTATCATGTGGTTGTAGTTTCTTCTGCTGTCTCAAACTAAATGTGCCAGCTACTGCTTGTTGGTGGTTCACTTGTCCAGCAAGGGCTGTGGGAAGAAATAGTTGTGGCAAAGCATTTGGTTCTTGAAAAATTTAATAATTTCTTTATTTGCATTCTTTCTAGCTCTGCTGAGTCAGTGGCTAAAATTTGAGCATACAGGCTTGTGCCATATTGTCTTTCAGCGAAGGTGTTTATATTCTGGTCACATGAGCTAAAAGCAGTATAGATTTCTGTTTAGTAATATGTTGTCTTTTTCTTGAGCTTTTGTAGTATTTACTTTCTTTTACTATCGTTTACTTATGTGTTCTGCTTTGACTCTGAACAGATTTTTCAGATGGGGGTGGGGAAAGGTGATAAATTAATAGAGTTTCTCTTCCCTGCTATTTAAAGAGGCTAGAGTCAAATCAGTAAGCAGCAGTGCGCTGTATGTGTAAGTTTACACTTTTGGTCAATAGCGCAACAAAAGTCATGGCAGGATATATACCTTAAGTTGGAATAGACTGTTCTTTCAATGTTTAGAGTCGTCAGGTGGCCCGTAGAGTGGAAAAAATGAGGCCTTTTTTCTGCATTAGTATGCATTGTAATTGTATGTATAATGGCTCACTTCAGCTAGCAAGCAATGGTTAGCAATAAATCATTGGAAGAATGGGCATATGTTCTTTATTGAAATATGTGGGGCGGAGAACGGCTGTTGTCATGTTAGCAAAAGTAATACGGGAGTCTGGAAGTTTTATCTGAGGTTAGCAGCAATGTCGAGTCTGGGCTTGTTCTGTCAGAGCTTTTACTTGGAAGGCTGGAAACTTTTGCTTAGCCTTTCCGAGTAGATAGACATACCGCAACACTCGAAAGTGGGTCTCACTAAAACTCTTTAATGGCACATCCATTTTCAGTCTTCATTTGTGATGTCATTAGTTGCTATAAGTATCTTTTGAGGAAAGAAATAGTTAAGAGCAGGATTTAACTATTAAAATACACAGTTTACTTTGGAGGAAGATTAAGAAATGGGCCTTTTATATTTTTCTCTGTAAGCCACTGAAGGGTGTACTTGAGATCACTTCTTTATGGACTGCTTGTAACATCTTGAAAATTGCGTTTCTCTGCACAAATGTGTGCATATCTGAGTGCAGTGCTGAAAAAATAGGAGTTTGTAATCCCTAAAGGGTGAATAATTTCTTTCCAAACATAAGTTTGTCTTGTGGTCAGTGTTCTGCTTCCATTTGTAAAGGAGGACAACTCTCTCCTCAGTGAAAGATGAGAATAAACATTGCTGTTTGTACAGCATGTGGTCTAACATTGAAAACTGCCCTTCCTGGAAAGCAATTTTAGCTGTCATTTGGCTACCTGTTGTGCAGGAAGTGGGCTGTGGTGCCTGACTATACTGATGGTAGGTGGTAGGTGCTGCTGCTGAGCTAGGCTGGGTTTGATAACCGATACAAAAGAAGTTCTCTGCGTGTTCTTTACCAGTTGTCTGAATCGTTCTGTTCACTCAATAACCTATGTTTTCATCATCGGGAGAAGATTTTGACTGATATTTTCATATACAGGACACTTAAAAAACAAAACAAAAAAACCCCCCACACATGTACGCACCCCCCAGAAATTTGACATTGTAGATTTTGGGTGAATTGTATCTTAAATGTTTCTTAGAAAATTAATTCCCTGATGGAGAATGGATGTAACTGATTATCCCTGTCTTAATTTCTCAGAGTGGGCACTGGGTTGTATTTCCCTAACTGCAGGTAAGGAGCCATAAATCTTCTTTGTTCAGGAGCAGATGGCTGTTAGTGATAGTGAAAAAATTGCTGCTTCAGAGGCAATCATTACTTTTCAGAACAATAAAACATGCTTTGCTGCTTTCTCACCTTCCATGGAGCCTCTTTCAGTCCAAGCAGCTTCCAGCAAAAGACCCCTTTCTCTTGAAAATTGCTCTTTTATTTTTTTCAAGTAGATCAGGTTCCTAGCTCTGGAAAACAACTGTCCTGACAGTTTCTGCGAGCACAGGGCCCTCTGACTCCCAGGGGGGAACTTCAGGCAACTCACCACCTTGTCCTCAGAGCAGAAAGCCTTCTATAGGCTTCCTACAGGCACGTGTGTACAGCCCAGTAAAAAACCGAATCGCAAGAGAAGTGCACCTGTTGCTCCAGAGTGAACAGTGTCATGGTAAGCTTACAAAACTGCTAGGATTGTGTGTGTACATATATATACACCTGAAAGGTGAAAAATGGTATTTTTGAAAAGCAAAGATGCACTGACTTACAGCAAAAACAAACAACGAAGAGTAGTAAAAGTCAAGTGAAGCTCTGTGCTAAGCAGGAGTCCCGGTACAGCAAAATAATTAGTTATAGATAGCAGTTAAAAATGAAGAGACCTGCTTTTTATTTCCCACTCTGCCACCTACTGTGTGACCTAAGGAAATACAGTGAACTGTTTAAGCATTACTGTCTTCTAAACGGAGTGAACAAGCATAAATCATCTGGCAGATGCTCTGACATCTATAAACCCATCAATGTGGGAGTAAGGTTTTGTTTCATGTGGTTGTTTTGTGGTTTTTTTTTTTTAAAAAAACTTCCATAAGCCTTACTGACACAGTTGTAGGGAATGTCAGTTTGTAAACTGTTTGCTGATACCTCTTTTGTTACTTAGCCTGGTGAAAACTCCAGGAGGGGAGCAGCAATAGCAGCGGAATGGCATCATGCCGCATGCATACTTCTGCTGCCCGGATAACCACAGGCTCTCCTGGCCCTGGCTGCGTTTGTTCAGGACAAGTAGAGACTGAAGTAACACTTTGCATCATTGGCCACTCTGATGCTGCATTTAATGTGACGGGGCAGCTCCTGGTGTAGTTACCGCTGTGAAGGCTGTGACGCACGAGTGCGGTTGCGAACTACGCGATGAGAACATGCCTGGGAGCAGTTCTGGTTCAAAAGGGTTGACACCTGCTTCAGAGGTTTTTTCCATTCTCTTCCACAGGCTGGCAGCACCAAATTTAATCGAGCTAAACTGCTGAATGTAGGATACCTAGAGGCCCTAAAAGAAGCAAACTGGGACTGTTTCATTTTCCATGATGTGGATCTGGTGCCAGAAAATGACTTTAACATTTACATGTGTGACAGACAACCAAAGCACCTTGTAGTTGGCAGGAACAGTACTGGATACAGGTAGGACACCAGGAGTATGAAAAGAATACCAACTGGGAAATGGCAAGTTACTGATAATGATCCTCTTCTGGTGGAGCTGTATGCTGTTATCTACCCTTCCTTCTGACACCAGATTTCTGGTGGTAACGCTCCATCTGTCTGGAGCGCCTTCTGACAAAAGACATCTGTATGGACTTGTTTGAAGTCAGCTCCATGGTCACCTGCACAAATGATCGTTGTCATCATTCTGGTTTCTGGGTTGAGTTAAAGGGTGTTTTGAGAGGAAAGCAACGTGGCAGAGGTGGTGTGAAGACCTTCTGTCAAAGCTAGAAATACATTTGCGTTCTTCTGGTCCTGTCATTTGATAGTGTGATCTTACTATTGTGCTAATAAAACTTGCCACTTAGCTTTTGCTGTTGAAGAGGTAACTTCTGATATTGAGAGCACAGGTGTGAGAATTTGCCAAGGGATAGGGTTGTCCTTTAATTATTTGGCTGTATTAACATCTAATACAGGATCATTCTTATTTTTGAATGGGGTCCCCTAAGTGATAGTGTGATATAAATAATATAAAGTGAAAAGTCAGGTTCAGTCCCTCTCGGAGAATAAGGGTTCCTGTGCTTGGTGAATTTAATGACTAGAGTGGTTTCAGTGAATGTATTTCTTTCAAGAGTCACCTCTTATGTCACTCCAAATATTAATTAGAAGTGGGCTGATCTCGGAGTACTTTGAAGTAAAGCTCTGCTTCACTTCTGGGTTTCCTCTTTTGAATATATGAAAAAGAGGTGGGATGTGCTGATTCTTATACAGAATAATCTACACTTTCCAGTTATTCAGTGAAAATGGGATCAAGCACAAATGAACTAGGCTCATGATAAGTTTTTGGAGCACTGCGCCTTGCAGAGAGAATGCTGAGGGCTACAGGACGGTCATGCACCAAAGCAACAGAAACATTGCTTTGGTTAATTGACAGGCATGTCAAATCCAGGCTAATAACGTGGCACAAAGCTTGAGGTGCTTTACATGACCTCCTGTGCCTTAGTTAGCTTAGCTAAGCATGCAGATGCTTTTTTTTTTTTCTTTTATTGAGGGGTGGTCTTACTATTAATTTCCTTAGGTTTCTACTGTTTGTGGAAAGGAGCTGTTAGTTATGGGTCAGCTTTAAAGAGTCTTACACTGACAAAATGTTTTTGTTGTGAATACCCTGCACCACTATTCGCTAGGATGCTGGTGGTTTGAATTATATTTGTACTTTCTTTGCTGTGTCACTGCCTTGGGTTACGCATCTGTGAAGTGGGGATAATAATGCTCTGCTTTCAAGGGAGTTCCTGGGTACCTCTGAAGGAATTCAGATCCTGAGCTCAAAAATGATACCTGCACTGAGTTGAGACTGCAGGTTGAAATCCCAGTTGGGTGACCTCAGTGTTTTGCTTAGGCTGAGGTGAGCATAGTAAGACATGTCGCTCAGGTGGGGTTGAGAACACTGAAGTCATACATGGTCTGCACTAACACAAAACATCCTGGGCAGGAATGTGGGGTTTCTGGGGGTTATTTGCTTGTTTTTGTTCCAGGGTGATATCTGCTATGCTAATCGTAGCTGATGTTCTCCTCTGGAAAGCAAGTACCCTGTGTCTGATTACATAAAGTACAACTTGGGTTTAGATTATTTAGGAGAAGGTTTATATATTCAAACTTTGAAGGTAAGGATGGGAAAAATTTCCCTAACGTAGCTAAGCTATTTCCTTGAGATCAGCACAGCGTCCTTTCCTAATGACCACTTCTGTGGTATGGTGTTTTCAGCCCAATTTTAAAAATCCCAATGGAGCTGATACTCTCTTGTCCTCCGGGAAGAGGTGGTTGAACACTGTTAGAGTTGCATTCTTGCAGATGATGTCACCTAGGAGCAAGATATGCCTGGGCCCTGCCAGTTTTGCTCTGCCTGCGGAGGGTTGAGTGGGCAGCACTGTCCTGTGTACAGCTCTGGCTCCTTCGGTGTCTGCCTCTCCAGCGGTGTAGGGGAATTACGGAGTGTGTAAGCGAGCAGTGGGTGCATATGTGGGATTGTGGGTGACTGGCAAGTGCAGCCTGGAAGCATGGTGGGGAGGGCTCTTCCCTGCTGGTGCTGTTTATGGGACCTCCTTGCTGTCCGTTCCACCTGTTCACTGCATTTCTCTAGAGTACCAATAGCAGAAGTCTCAAGGTGGTGGTTCATAACTAAAACTTGATAGGGCCTCTGCTACCTTGTGGTTGGTCTCCTCTAGGAGAGGAGATAAAGGAGAGAGAGCAAGAAAGAGTGAAAATTCCCAGAGGTAGAAAAAAATACAGGTAAAGCACATGAGACTGCATCTGCCTAGAACAATCCTTTTTTATATGTTCATATAGATAACATCTAGATAAACAGTGTATTTGGGAAGTATATTACAGTCCCAGCCAATGACAGTTGAAGCTTTTTTCAAGCAACTGGAAGAAGTCTCGCGTGTACAGGCCCTTGTCCTCGTGGAAGACTTTAATCATCCTGGTGTCTGCTGGAAGGACAACGCAACAGGGCACAAGCGATCCAGGAGATTTCTGAAGTGAATTGATGATAACTTCCTGACACAGATGATCAGAGCTGATGAAGGGAGGTCTTCTGCTGAACTTATACTTACAAATAAGGAAGAACTGGTCAGGGATGTGAAGGTCAGAAACGAGGAGGGAATGAGGCAAAAGCAGGTTCGCAACCCTGGAACTCCTCTTCAGGGATCTGCTTGGAAGAATCACTTGGGAGATGACCCTGGAGACAAGAGGGGTTTAGGAAGCTGGTAGATCTTTGGGGGTTGCCTCCTCCACGCTCAAGGATGGCCCATTCCTACATGCAGGAAGGCAGGCAACGGTGGACGGAGGCCTGCATGGATGAACAAGGAGCTCCTGAGAAGACTTGAAACAGAAAAAGGAAGCATGAAAGAGGTGGAAGCAGAGTCAGGTGACTTGTAAGGATACACAAGATGCTGTCTAAGAATGCAGGGATTGGATTGAGAAAACCAAAGCCCCTCTGGAATTGAACCTTGCAAGCAACGTGAAGACTAATGTGAAGGACTTCTACAGGTACATCAGCTGCTGGGAAAAGTAGGGAAAATGTGTACTTCTCTGCCTTGGTCCTTACTGGCAAGATGTGCCTTCACGATTCCCAGGCTTCTGATACCAGTGGAAAAGTCTGGATGTACAGAGACTTACCCTTGGTGGAGGAGGATCTAGTTAAGGAATACTCGAACAAGCTGGACATACACCATAAAACCATGTGACCTGATGTGTTGTATCCTAAAGGAACCAGTTGCTGTCATTGTGAGGCCATTCTGTTATGTTTGAAAGGCCATGATGATTGGGGGAGGTTCATGAAGACCGGAAGAAAACAGACGTCACTTCTATCTTCAGGACAGGCAAGAAGGAGGATTAGAGGAACTACAGGCTGGTCAACCTCACCTTTTAACCCCTGGAAAGGTGATGAAGGAAACCTGTTCAGAAGTCATGCCTGACCAACCTTGATAGTCTTCTGGGATTCGACTAGCTTGGTGGACAAGGGAGGAGTTAGTGGATAATGTTTATCTTGACTTAAGAAGGCTTTCAACAGTGTCAATGGGGATGTGAATGGGGATGTCAGTGGGGATGTGAAAATGACAGGCCAGTCAGTCTCACCTCTGTGCCTATCCAGATCATGGAGCAGATCCTCCTGGAAACTGCTGAGGCATGTGGAAAATAACGAGGTAACTGGTGACAGCCAACGTGGCTTCACTAGAACAAATCGTGCCTGACAAATTTAGTGGCCTTCTGTGATAGGTTTGCTGCATTAGAGGATAAGGGAAGAGCAACTAATGTCATATACCTGGACTTGAGCAAAGCATCCTTGCCTCTAAATTGGAGAGACATGGATTTGATGGGTGGACCACTCGGTGGATAAGGAATTGGCTGGATGGTCGCACTCAGAGAGTTGCAATCAATGGCTCAGTCTCCAAGTGGAGACCAGTGATGAGTGGTATTCTTCAGGGGTCAGTACGGGGACCAGCGCTGTTTAACGTCTTTGTCGGTGACATGGACAGCGGGACTGAGTGCACCCTCAACAAGTTTGCCAATGACACCAACCTGTGTGGTGCAGTCAACAAGCTGGAGGGAAGGAGTGCCGTCCGAAGGGATCTGGATGGGCTTGAGAGGTGGGCTTGTGCGAACCTCATGAAGTTCAGTAAAGCCAAGTGCAAGGTCCTGCACATGGGTCAGGGCAACCCCAAGCACAAATACAGGCTGGGCAGAGAATGGATTGAGACCAGACCTGAGGAGAAGGACTTGAGGATGCTGGTTGATGAGAAGCCCAACGTTGACCCAACAATGTGCACTTGCAGCACAGAAGGCCACAACTGCATCCTGGGCTGCATCAAAAGAAGCGTGTCCAGCAGGTCGAGGGAGGTGATCATGCCTCGCTACTCGAATCTGAGACCCCACCTGGAGTCCTGCGTCCAGCTCTTCAGCACAGGAAAGACATGGAGCTGTTGGAGTGGGTCCAGAGGAGGGCCATGAAGGTGATCCGAGGGCTGGAGCACCTCTCCTATGAGGAAAGGCTGAGAGAGCTGGGGCTGTTCAGCCTGGAGAAGAGAAGGCTGCGGGGAGACCTTACAGCAGCCTTCCAGTACCTGAAGGGGCCTACAGAAAAGCTGGAAAGGAACTTTTTACAAGGGCATGTAGTGATAGGAAAAGGGATAGTGGCTTTAAACTAAAAGAGGGCAGATTTAGATTAGATATAAGGAAGAAGTTCTTTACTATGAGGGTGGTGAGGCACTGGAACAGGTTGCCCAGAGAAGCTGTGGCTGCCCCCTCCCTGGCAGTGTTCAAGGCCAGGTTGGATGGGGCTTTGAGCAACCCAGTCTAATGGAAGGTGTCCCTGCCCATGGCAGGGGGATTGGAACAATATGGTCTATAAGGTCCCTTCCAACCCAGACCATTTTATGAGTCTATGTTACGGGAGACAAAGTGATGAAGTATGGACTAGAAAGTGGACAGTGAGATGGACTGAAAACTGGGAGAACTGCTGGGCTTGAGTGTTCTGATCACTGGAGCAAAGTCTGGCTGGAGGCCAGTCACTAGTGGTTTACACCGGAGTTTGACACTGGGACTGGTACTGGTTAGTATCTTCTTTAGGAACCTGGGTGATAGGGCAGATTGCACCCTCAGCAAGTTTTCAGAAGATAGAAGTCTTGGAGGGGTGGTTGATGTATGAGGGACTTTCTGGCTGGAGAATGTGGCCAACATGAATCTAAAGAAATGCAACAAAGGGAAATGCGGAGTCCTACACCTGGAGAGGAGCAGCTCCATGCACCAGTAGGTACTGGAGGCCAGCTGTCTGGAAAGCAGCTTTACAGAAAAGGATCTGGGCCAGCAGTGTGCCCTCATGACAAAGGCCTGCGGCATCGTGGGCTGCGTTAGGAGTGGTGTTGTCAGTTGTTGAGGGAGGTGATTCTTCCTGTCTACTCGGCACCATTGAGACGATAGCTGGAGTGCTGTGTCCAGTTCTGGGTTTCCCAGTACGATAAAAACATGGACATGCTGGAGCGAGTCCAGAGAAGAGCCATGAGGATGGTTAAGGGATTGCAGCATCTGACGTGTCAAGAGAGGCTGAGAGTGCTGGGACTGTTCAGCCTGGAGCTGAGAAGGCAGAGAGGGATCTTGCCAATGTGGACACATACCTGATGGAAAGGAGTAAAGAAGGTAGAGCCAGGCCCTTCTCGGTGAAAGGCAAGGGGCAGTGGGCACAAACTGAAATACAGGAAATTCCATTTAAACATATGAGAAAGTGTTTGGTTGTTTTGTTTTGTTTTACTGTGAGGGTGGTCAAATACTGGAACAGGCTGCCCAGAGAGGTTGTGGAGTTTCCATCCTTGGGAGATGCTCAGCACCTGTATGGTAATGGTCCTCAGCGACTTGCTCTAGCAGACCTTGCTCTGAGCAGAGAGGTTGGACCAGCTGATCTCCAGAGGCCCCTTCCAACCTCCACAGTTCTCCTGTGGTGCTATGACAGAAGCAACAATCAGCCAGGAAAA